CTGACTCATTTCCACGTCTTGTGAGCGTTCAAAACCCATTTCTGCACTGAGAGGGAAGCCAGTGTTGGTTTCCCTTGTGCCGCGTTGGTGGGGACAAAGCAGCACTTGTAGAAATCCCCGCTCCCCGCACGGCTGCTGACCAGGGGCGCCGACCTCCTCCTCCACCACCTCCTCCTCCTCCTCCTCCTCCGCGGCGCTCTGAGCCTGGACATCAGGGTGGCTTCTTGCTTTTTCCTGATTTCCTGGTGGCCCAGGCACCGTCTGCAGTTCTGGGGCCCACCCCACCTGCCCGCACCTCATCCCCAGGTGGGGCCCTGTGGACTTTGGAGCCACCGGACACGGCAGGGGGCTGAGCAGACACGGCCGGGGGGCGGGGGGCAAAGTTCCCGGGGCCCCGCAGACACAGACAGGGCCGTTTCTTTACAGCCGGGGCCCCTCGGCTGGCGACGCCACCCTGGGCTCCCACAGCGGCGGGAACGAGCCCAGACGCTCAGGTGGGGCCCAGAGGCGGGGAAGTGACCTTGGGCAGCGTCCCCAGGTCCAGCCTGGGATGTAGGTGAGGGCGGCCCACACCTGTTCCAACACAACTGTCTCTTGGTCATTCTGTAGTCTTTTTTTCCCTTGTTTTTTTTTTAGGTACTAGAAATCGAACTCAGGACCTCACACTTGCCAGGCAGGGTTTCTTTGTTGCTGTTATTTTAATACAAGGTCTCGCTACGTGGCCCAGGCTGGCCTCAGTCTCATAATGATCCCCCTGCTTTAGCCTCCTGGATGCCAGGATTATAGACGTGTGCCACCATGCCTGGTTTAACTCTTTTATTTTGAGATTGGCTCTCACTATTGAGTTTCCTGTGAACCTCGGGGTCCTTTCTTGGCCTTTCCCGCGGCTGGGGCAGGGTCTCAAGCCAGGACTAAGCTCCCTGGGTCCCCAGGGGTCCCTTTGCTGCAGGGCTGCTGAGCAACACCCCCTGCCTGCCTGGGCAGTAGCGCCTCCAAGGGGAACTTTCACTTTGCCCACACAGCCCTGGCCGCCCCTCTCCTCCCTGGCCGCATCTGCATCCGGGACACATGGTCTGGTCTAGGACCACAGCCCCCCATCCCTGCGCCCATCCCTGCCCCCAGCTCTGCCAGCAGCAGGAACCAAAGGGTGCCATTCATTCATTCATTCACTCATTTACCTGACAGGCCCTGTGCAAAGGGCTGGAAGGGAAGCAGAGCAGAAGGCAGGTCAGAGGGTGTGGAGGGCCCAAGGGGACGGTGGGGAGGAGGGAGCTTGTGGAGATCTAGGACCCACATTCCAGGCTGGGGCCACAGCCAGTGCAAAAGCCCTGGGGTGGGTGTGTGCGTGTGTTTTAGGATCCTTCTTTCCTTGATGACAATGAGGGGCTCTGGGAGAGGCCTGACCCAGGAGCCAGGGAGTGTGGTATCCCTACTTTCTAGGTGGATGATGAGGGTGACAGTTCACTCAGCCAGCAGCTGCTGGATGCCCCACCCAGCCCTCACCCCTATCCTTGCTTTACTTCACACCCATATCTCAGATGGAAAGGGCCGAGGTCCCGGATCCCAGGACAGAACCAGGAAGCTGGGCTCTGCCTGAATCAGGCAGGGCTCTGACTTAGGGACAGACACCTTGGCTGAGAAATGAGGTTCATTTAACAAGCATTTATTAAGCACTTGTGTGCGCAGTTTTAGACGGGGTTGGGGGATCAGACAAAAATCCCTTGCAGTGTGAAGCAGATAGCCCAGAAACCAGACGTGCGGACCTGCGGAGCCTGGTGCTGAGGCCCTGAGGCGGGACGGACCTCAGCCAGAAGGTCGGGTCTGTGGGAAGGAGAGCAGGGTGGGAGTGGCCGGTGCAGGGGCCTTCGCCTGCTCTCCGGGGATGCAGCGTTTGCGGGGGCCACTGTGGGAGGCTGGCGCAGAGGGGACTTGGCAACAGCATCCCCAGAGGGGACACAGGTCCCAGGACCTGGGCGTGGGGTCCTGGGAAGGCCCAAGGCCTTCTGTGGATTCCTGACTTCTCCCGGCCTGTCTGAGACTCTGAGGTGCCCAGGTCACCCACACAGTGCTTTCTGGCCTCTTCCTCTGGACGGTGCCAGGTCCACCTCGGCCCCTCCATGGGGAACCAGGCCTGGATTTGATACAGGTCATGGTGTGGGCCAGTAGCGCATCCCTGGAGCCTCCCCACGACCAGCAGCTGTGCCCACGTGTCCACAAGGGGGGCCTGGACACCGCCATGGGGGGCCTGGACACTGTCCCCTGGGGCCCCAGCCAGCTGGCTAGGGCGGGGCGCACCTCACAGGGGAGCGGAACTAGGGGCCAGAGCCCCATGACGCTGGAGCAGCCTTTACTGCAGCTTTTGTTGTTAGCGGCCCACAGCAATGGCCATTAAGGCTGCCCTGTCCACCGGCACCGGGGTCTTCTATGAGTGCCCCTTTACAACCTCGAATCAATGCCCGGGCTTCACGGGGGTCCAGCCGGGCGAGCAGCTGGCCTGCCAGCACACCATTTGGCCTGGGGGTTAACGGCCCCACTGCCTTCCCACCCTCAACAAGCTCTTCTCTCTCTGCCCTGACCTCAGTTTCCCTATGTAGAGTACTAGTGGTCATAATGTTTCTAAGTGTCCATGAGAAAACCTTTGAGAGAGGGGCTGGGGATTTAGCTCAGCGGCACAGCGCCTCCCTGGCAAGTGCAAGGTCGTGAGTTCGATTCCTGGTCCCGGAAAAAAACCAAACAACAAAAAAAAAACCTTTGAGAGAGAGAAAGAGAAAGAGAGAGGGGCGCATGCCAGGGGTGCTGAGGGGAGAACCCAGGGCCTTTGCACTGAGCCATATCCTCAGCACTTCTAAATTGCCAGGCTGGCCTTGAACTTGAGATCCTCCTGCCTCAGCCTCCTGAGTAGCTAGAGTTATAGGCATATATACCACACCTGGCCTGAGGAGCGTTTATCAAGCAGTTGCTGTGTGCTCGGCTGAATTCTAGACCCTGAGACCCAGGCAGACCCCGTGCACACACGCGCACACCGTGAGTCCCTAGGCTCAGTTTTGGGAAGGTTTGGGGAAGGGCGTGGGTGAGGGGCACCCAGGGCCAGCGCAGGCGCAGGTAGAACCGGGCAGGGCTGGAAGGACAAGGCCTGGCCGGTCCAGCCCGGTCTACCTGCAGGCCCCGCAGCCCTCGGGCAGCTGAGGGGGAAAGGGGCCTCCCAGGCCGCCATAAATCAGCGCAGGAATGCGGGCCGGCCAGTCTGGCGCTGGCCGGGGTGGGGCGCAGACAAAGGCCGACAGCTGGCCTTCTGCTGGGCCGCGACCACCCAGGGATGAGGTCTGGACGCCTGCGTCCTCCTGACCCTGTTCCAGAAGCGACCCTCCCCCGTCTCCATTACACAGACTGGGAGGCTGAGGCCTAGAGCCAGGCAGGTTGGCAGAGAGGAACCCGAGGAAGGTCCCAGCTTCTGGGCCATGCTCTGGGCACCTAATGACAGATTATCCCAGCCTGGGCCTAATTGGTGGTTTCAAGGCCCCCCACAGCCCAGCCAGCCGCATTCCCTGGAGCTTAATTTGAAGCCTGGTATTTGCCCCTGCCTCTCCCTGGTAAATTGGCCCCCGCCTGAACTCCACTTTCTAATTATCTCTGCCCGCTGCCCACTGCCCCCTGCCCAGCCTGCCCTGCCTGCCTTCCCAGACTGTGGGCTGTGGCTGCGGGGCCGGGGCACCCCCTACCCCCCCCCCCCCGTGGCCCCGCGGGTGCCCCAGAGAGCATTTCCCTTCCTATGGTGACATCCGGTCACTTCCTCCCTGGCCAGCCCTGCCCGGCACGCAGTCAGTCACTGGCTGTTTATTTATTCCCTAGTATTGGGGATGGAACCCAGGGCCTTCCCACTGAGCTACATTCCGGGCCCTTTTCTTTTTTTTCCTTTTTTATTTTGAGATAGAATGTTGCTAAGTTGTCCAAGCTGGCTGAAACTTGCCATCCTCCTGCCTCAGCCTCCCAGGTACCAGGATCCTAGGCGTGGGCTCATGTCACATACCGGCATGAGGCCTCAGAGGCCAGGAGAGCTGGTCACAGGGCTCTGTGCCCAGGGTCTCCAGCGATCCCCAGCTGTGGTGCCCCCTGCTGCCACGCCTTACTTAGCTTCTTCACCTGCAAAGCTGAGCCGGCTCTTAGGAGTAGATGTGCCCGTGTGTGGCTCTCAGGACAGCCCTAGGGCACGACTGTCATGCTCATGATGATTCCGTGAGGTTACATGAGCACTGCTATTGTGGGGTGAATTGTGTCCCCTCCACCACGAGATCCACCCCCTGGAACTGGGTGTGGTGGCACACGCTTGTCATCCCAGCACTTTGGGAGGCTGAGGCAGAAGAGTCCCAGGTATGAGCTCACCCTGGACAACTCAGTGACTTAGTGAGACGCTGTCTCAAAGTAAAAAATAAAAATAAAATAGAAGGCTGGGGATGGAGCTGAGCGCAAAGGCCCTAGGCTCCACCCTCAGTACAGCGCGTGAATGAATAAATGAACGGGAACTGTGTGCCCTGGTGCTGTGAGAGGGACCTCATCTGGGACCTGCGTCTTTTGAGATATAATTGGTTAGGGATGGAGTCGAGATGGCCCTAAATCTAGCAGCCTGGGGTCCTTCAAGGAGAAGAGACAGGGACCCAGGGTGATGGCGGCAGAGACCGGGGAGGGGGGGCACAGCTGCAAACCCAGGGCCACCGGGACAGGCGGGAGGGCCCAGCCCCACAGCGACCTGGGGCTCAGGCCCGGCTCCGGGACAGTGCGGATTGGGATCCTGTTGTCCTGAGCCCCCGGCCTGTGTGCTGCGCTGCGTCCCCGCAGCCTGGGACAAGCCCCTGGCCTCAGCGTGGCTGCTTCTCCTGCCCGGCAGTGAGGTGCTCGATGGCCGGCAGCGCGGCGGGGCCGGCCCTGGGTCCCCTCCCCGCGGCGGCCCTCGGCCTGTGGCGCCCGCTCGGTGGCCCGCTGATCGCTGCCCTCTCTGCCCTCAGCTCTACGAACTCGACGGGGACCCGAAGAGGAAGGAGTTCCTGGACGACCTGTTCAGCTTCATGCAGAAGCGAGGTGAGCGCGGGCCGCGGGCGGAGGTCTCCCCGCGGTCTGCGGCGCCGACGTCCGAGCGGGGAGACTGAATGTCCAGGCCCCGCTGAGCCCTTGGTGTGGCCCTGGGGCGACCCTGCTCCCGGGACCCCACAGCAGGCCCACGGGTTGGGGGCAGGACCGGCCTGTTTTGGGGGGCTGTGTCGGGGGGGCCCTGAGCTGCGGATGTAACCCGAGGCGAGGCTCCATCGCCCGCCCCGGCAGGCACCGCGCTCGCTGAGTGCGCCCCGCTCGCGTTCACCGGCCTCCGCGGCCTCCGGGGCTGAGAGGGCCTGAGAGTGCGGCGCAGCCAGGAGGAGCCCGGCAGCCAAGGCCGTGGGCGCCGCGCGCCTGGCCCTCGAAGGGGCAACCGGCCGGGGGCGGATCTGGCACTGGGCCCGGGTGGGGAAACTGAGGCCCAGGGAGGGCTGTGGCCTTGGGGCCCTAGGGCAGGAAGGTTTGGCAGGGGGTCCCCCCGCTCCTGGCTTGGGCCCCGCCACAGCCGGTTCTGACCAGGCCGCACCCTCCCTGGCTTCTGTAAACACAGCCGCCAGCTGCTGCCACCGGAAGGGCGGGAGGGGGCGGGGGGAGAGGAGGGGCTGCGGCCCCGCGGACCCCACTGCCCAGCGGCCCTGCGTTAACCCGTCCCGTGCCAGGCCAGGAAGCAGCTGGGTCCCTGGGAGGGGGCCCCTTGTGCGTTATCCTCAGAGCGCAGCCCCAGCTGGCCCTGCTGGCCCCACGCCCTTTATCGTCCTGTCCACACCTGCCTGAGCCCTCTGGCCATCTGCTAGGGGGCCCCAGGTCCCAGCCCCCAAACTGACCATCTTGCTGATCCTCGGTGCTCGGCACGGTGGTTGATGTCCTCAAGGCACAGAAGCAGAGGGAGGTGCCAGTGAGTGGGAGAGGTGGGTCTCCCAGGGATTTCTCTTTAGCCTCTGGCCACACAGGAACACGAGGGTCTGTGTCCAACCCTGTCTTCCTCACCAGGCTGAGAGTTCCTGGAAAGCAGGGGGAAACTAACTCCTATACATGCCTCAAAACCCCATGTCAAAGCCCCTTTTCCCTCTGTCTCCCTGGACTTTCCCTCTTCTGTAGTTGGGAGCCTTTGGGGCTGAGAATCTGCCCAACACGCACCCCCCCAGCTTCTACTCTCTACCCTGCTATGCCCTTTTCCTTTATTCCAAGTAGGGGGAGAGGTTGTTTTGTTTTGTTTTTTTATTCTGCCTGCATCAGAAAGTAAAAACCAGAGTTCTTCTCAATTCCCTGGGGATTGGAAATGAGAAAAGGACCTGCCCTAGCAGCCCTCTGTTCTCCGGAGGACTCCCCGCCTCCCCAGTTGTGCTGGCATCTGCCTCTGTAACTGGCCTCCTGCCCTGTGCCCAGCGCAGACCTCGGGCTGGCTGGCTGGTGTGGGTGCGGCTGGGCCGAGATGGAGCTGGGGTGGGCAGCAGGTCTGAGCCGGGCCTTCCCCTGACCTCCAGAGGGACTGTGCAACCTAGGCGAGGGGACAGGAGGTGGTTTCCGCATGGAGGGTAGGGTGGTGAGTTGGCCCTTCACTCTCAGGGTCGCCGTCCCCGAGCCTCAGTTACCCCATCCCTCACGCTCAGCGCCTGCGCGACGCCCGGCCGCGTGCTGTGCGCAGTCGGGGCAAGGGGTCTCATGAGCCCAGACACAGGGGTGGGAGGAGGCGCCGGTCGGGTGAGCCGAGCTCCGGGGCTTCCAGAGACTGTGGGCAGAGACTGGAGAGTCGGGTGGGTGAAGGGCAGAGGTCGGCCTGGTGGGCGCTGCCTCTCCCCGAACTGCCGCTCAGGGGCCGGGGAAGCGGCTGCCGGCGCAGAGCCCTGAGCGGAGGCGCGGGAGGAGCGGGAGGAGCGGCCCCTGGGAAAGAGGCTGAGCTCCTGGCAGCTGTTACAGAACAACAAGGCCTGTGTGTCACCTGCCTCTCCCCAGCGCCGCCCTCAGGGCCTCCCTTCTCTTAGAAACCCCTTTCACCCGTGAGATCTGCGCTGTCCGAGGGCTCAGGTCGCTCGTGGGGAAACTGAGGCAGTGCCGCCTCTCACGCTATCAAGGTGGGATCTCGTCTGGGGGCCTGATGCTGCCCCAGGGGACAGCAGGTGCTGCCTAGGGATGTCTGTGGCTGTCACGCTGGGGAGCTCCTGGCATGGGGCGGGTAGAGGCCAGGGGCACTACAATGCCCAGATCCCCGAGCAGGACCTGGCCTCGGGATCACCGGTGTCCCTGGGCGGGCGATGGGGCCCCGATGCTGCCCTCACCCGTGCCCCCCGCCTGCAGGCACACCGGTGAACCGCATTCCCATCATGGCCAAGCAGGTGCTCGACCTGTTCATGCTGTACGTGCTGGTGACGGAGAAGGGCGGCCTGGTGGAGGTCATCAACAAGAAGCTGTGGCGGGAGATCACCAAGGGCCTCAACCTGCCCACCTCCATCACCAGTGCTGCCTTCACGCTTCGGACCCAGTGAGTGGCCGGGGACCTCGGGCTCAGGGTGCAGCAGAGTTGTGGTTAGGGTTTAAAGAGCCCGTGGAGGGGTTGGGGATTTAGCTCAGCGGCACAGTGCCTGCCTGGCAAGCGCAAGGTTGTGAGTTCGATCCCCGGTACTGGAAAATAACCAAAAAAAAAAAAAAAAAAAATTAAAGAGCCCATGGAGCGGGGCATGATGTTGCGAGCCTGTCATCCTGGCACTCCAGGAGGCTAAGGCAGGAGGATCTCCAGTTCAAACCCAGCCTAGGCAACTTAGTGATTTAATAAGACCCTGTCTTAGACTAAAACTCAATCACGGGAAGACAGGATGGTGCTTCCCCTGTGCTGGTCAAGGGCAGCCTGGTGCCACACCCTCCTCCACACCCACAGGTACATGAAGTACTTGTATCCCTATGAGTGTGAGCGGCGTGGCCTCAGCAGCCCCAACGAGCTCCAGGCTGCTATCGACAGCAACCGCCGGGAAGGTCGGCGCCAGAGCTTCGGCGGCTCCCTCTTCTCCTATTCACCAGGTGGTGCCCACAGCATGCTGTCCTCGCCCAAGCTGCCCGTCCAGTCCCTGGGCCTGGCCGCCAGCACCAACGGCAGCTCCATCACCCCGGCCCCCAAGGTCAAGAAAGGTGAGGAGTGCACGAAGGCCTGGGGCTGACCCCGGCGTGACTTGGGTTGGGGGGTGCTTTCTCCCTCTCACCCCAGGGTGGGTATCCAAGGAGGCACGCAAATGGTAGGTAGTACATAGCTGTGACCCCATCACTCTGGGAGGCTGAGGCAGGAGGATCTCACAGTCAGTCCCTGCCTACGCATTCTAGCAACTGAGCAAGAGTCTGTCTCCACTAAAAAATAAAAAAGGCCCTGGCTTCCACCCCCAGCACCAGAAAATAATAAAGTGTGAATGCTAAATGCCATTGTAGTGCTGTTGTTATAATTCACATTACCGGCAGCACCACTGTGTCCTCTACCATCTGCTGTTAGAGGGGTTTTAGTTAGTTAGTTAGTTAGTTGGTTAGTTAGTTGGGTCTCACTGTGCAGTTCCAGCTTGGCACTGAACTCACTAAGTAGCCCAGGCCGACCTCAAACTTGTGGCAATCCTTCTGCCTCAGCCTCCCGAGTGCTGGGGTAATAGGGGTTTGGTAGCACATGCATCTGTTTGCAAACCCATCTGCTTCTGCGGAGAGGAAGTGAGCGCCTCCCCATCAGCAGAGGTCTGCACTGCACCCTGCCCGGGGCTGAAGGCAAGGCCAGCCTGCCTGGGTCTCTTTCTGACCCCTGCTCTCCTCTTGTGTCTAGAGGAGGACTCGGCCATCCCCATCACGGTCCCCGGCCGCCTGCCTGTGTCCCTGGCAGGCCACCCTGTGGTGGCAGCCCAGGCAGCAGTGCAAGCAGCAGCAGCCCAGGCGGCTGTGGCAGCGCAGGCGGCGGCCCTGGAGCACATCCGGGAGAAGCTGGAGTCTGGGGAGCCCCCGGAGAAGAAGATGGTTCTGGTCGCGGATGAGCAGCAGCGGCTCCTGCACCGGGCTCTGCAGCAGAACTTACTGGCCATGACCGCCCAGCTGCCCATGAGCATCCGGATTAACAGCCAAGGTACTGGCCCAACGCCGCACCCTCAGTGCTTCCCGCTTCCCACATGCGGGACAGCAAGGGCCTCAGAGCCAAGCTATGTAAAGAGTGATGGCAAATCAATAAGCAAAAGGCCTGCAAGCCAGCGGAGGCCATGGGGCCCTGATGATGAGTCCATCTGGTGGGAGCGCTGCACGTTAACACCGACGTGGTGCCTCCCATGAGTGTGATTGGCCTTGGATTGGCTAGGCTGTGGGACCTTGGACCTTGGTGACAGTTTGGCCATCTCCCTTCAAGGGGTAGGATACTGAGGATTCAACCTAGGGCCTTTGCACTGACTGAGCTCCATCCACAGGCTAAATTTCGAGGCAAGGCCTTGCTAAGTCAGTAAGTTGCCTAGGTTAGGCTGGAACTTGTGATCCTCCCGCCTCAGCCAGCTAGAGTGCTAGAATGACAGGTATGTGCCACCTAATCGGCTAGCAATCTCTTTTATTTATTTATTTTTTTTGGTTTTTCTCCGGTACCGGGAACTGAACTCATGACCTTGCTCTTGCCAGGCAGGCGCTTTGCCGCTGAGCTAAATCCCCCACCCCTGCAATCTCTTTTAAAACAGCAAATCTGCCAGGCATGGTGGCACATGCCTGTAATCCCAGCACTCAGGAGGCTGAGGCAGGAGGATCGTTGTGAGTTCAAGACCAGCCTGGGCTACAAAGTGAGTTCAAGGCCACCCTGAACTGCATAGCAAGACCCTGTCTCAAAAAAAGACAAAAACAAAACAAAACAAAATCAAACAAAACAAAAAGAAGACAGAAAATCTGCTAGGTGTGGTGATGCATGCCAGTAATCCCAGCACCCAGGAGGCTGAGGCTGAAGGGTCAGCATGAGTTTGAGGCCAGCCTGAGGTGTATAGTGAGTTCAAGGCCAGCCTGAACTATATAGTGAGACCCTGTCTCCATCCCACCTCAAGGAAGAAAGGCAGATGTAACTGCACAGGGTACGTGCCTGTGATTCCAGCTACTCAGGAGGCTGAGGCAGGATGATCATGATTTCAGTGCCTGCCCAAGCACCTTAGTGAAACCGTGTGTCCAAGAAAAGGGAGCGGGGAGAGAAAGATCACTGAGCACCTGCGGCACGCACTGGTGCCGATACAGCCTTTGCCTCCTTGGACCTGACAGTCAAGTGGCCAGACAGCCACGGAGCCAACACGTTTCTGTGGTTTTCTTCCCCCCGCAGCCTCTGAGAGCCGGCAGGACTCAGCCGTCAGCCTCGCTGGCACCAATGGCAGCAACAGTATTAGCATGTCCGTGGAGCTCAACGGCATCATGTACACAGGTAGGTGCCCAAGGCCTCGGCCAGCTGGGCCACTGCTGTCCCACTGAACGCAGGGCCCCTGGGCTGACTCTGGCCTGCAGCTGGAGACCAGGGAAAGAGCTGGCAGCAGGCAGCTAGGGCTGGGAGGCAGAGTCTTCACAAAGGGGGAGGCTGAGGCAGGAGGCTTGCTAGAGAGTTCAAGGCCAGCCTGGACTACATAGTGAGGCCCCTGTCTCATAACAAAAACAGAACAAAAGTGATAGTTGGCTGTAGTGATACATGCCTGTCATCTCAGCACTCAGAATCTGAGGTAGGAGACTTGCAAGTTCAAGACTAGCCTGAGCAATTTAACAATTTAATGAGACCCCATCTCAAAATAAAAAACACAAGCCGGGCGTGGTGGCACACGCCTGTAATCCCAGCACTCGGGAGGCTGAGGCAGGAGGATCAGCGCAAGTTTGACACCAGCCTGGGCTACAAAGTGAGCTCAAGGCCAGCCTGAACTACATGGTGAGACCCTGTCTCAAAAGATCAAAAATAAATAAATAATTTTTTAAAAAAATAAAAAACAAAAACAAAAACAAAAAAAAAGGGACTGGACATGTAGCTCAGTGCAGAAGCCCTGGGTTCAATCTTCAGAACAAGAAAAAAATTAAATGGCACATGCCAGACACTGTGTGGCGCTGTGGGCAGAGGGCAGCCTGGTTGCTGAGTGGACAGTGGCTGGGAGGTCACAGGCATCTTATGTTCAGGGTCAAAACACTGCTGGACACAGCCAAGAAGTTAGTGCCTCGGCGGCCCAGCGCGTCTCCTTCCTGCACACTCAGCAGGCAGCAGTGAGGCGGCCAGTCCCTGTGATAAGTCTCTGTTCTGTCCTGTACCAGGGGTCCTATTTGCTCAGCCGCCGGCCCCCGCGCCACCCTCAGCACCCAGCAAAGGCGGTGGTGGCGGCAGCAGCAGTAGCAGCAGCAGCAGCAGCAGCAGCAGCAACTCAGGTGGCCGGGGAGGACCCACGGGGACCAGCTCGGGCAGCCAGGCGGGTGCAGCAGGGCTGGCAGCACCGCCTACATCTTCTACCTCAAATAACTCGTTGCCTTAACTGTGTGGCTCCCTGCCTGCCCGCTGCCCCCCCCCCCGCCCCCAGGAGCTGACAGTGCCTGGGGCTGGGGTCCAGGAAGGCGGAAGCAACAGGCGGGAAGAGCAGAGCTTCACCACAATATCACATTGACGCCAAAAAGGAAAGAGAAAGAGAATATATATATATATACATATATACATATATATAAAGCAAATCTAATAAAACAGGGGAAAACCAAGGAACACTTGAATTTCTCAGGTTGTGGACATTCAGAGATGGATTATGAGGACCGTGAAAAGATCCTAAAGGACAGCCATGCCGCTGGAGCCCCTGGAGACTTTCTCTGCTCCTGGGCAGGTGGCTGTGGCTGTGGTGTTTGGCACGGAGCAGCTGCAATGTCAGAGCCAACCCTCTTTACCTCATACATCCCTGCACTGTGTGTTAGCAATTTTGTCTGTTTTTTATTCTCACTTTTTATTTTTATCTGTGACACATTCATCACACCCAGCTCCTTGTGTTGAATGAAACCCCTGAGCCAAGATCACTGATCTTCTTTTCTTTTCTCCTTTGTTCTTTGGGAAGTATGTTTTTCCTTTTTTTTTTTTTTTTTTTTAAGAAATAGTGACACTCAAACTCCTATAAGGTTTTAAGAGGTTTTGGGGGTTTTGTTCTGTAAATATTCTATTTTATTCCTGGGGGGGGTGGAGCTTTAGGAAAAGGATATCTATATATCTATATATCTATATATTTGTGCTCATTCAGGGATTAGGAAAAGCAAAGTGAAACAAAAGAACCCAACCCCGGTAATCACCATTTTTAATTTTTCTGTGACTGGTCTGGGCTCCTCTGGGTGTTTCTGGTGCCCAGCGGGTGGCCCTCGAGCCCAGGACGCTGGATCTCGGTGAGGACTTCTAATTTCCAGGCTCGGCGCTTGGATCAGGGAACCCTTAACAGGGAGGTAGAATGAATCCTGGCCGAAGGGTCCCAGGCACACCCCCAGGCTCCTGTCTCAGGGATGATTTTGGGGACGATCAATACGGGGGAACCCAGGGAAGCCAGGCCTAGCTCAGGGTGAGGATTTAGGGCCCGTGGCAACCCGAACCCCCCGCTCTCATCTCTCCCCTCCTCTCTTCGCCTTCTCTGCTCGCCTTCTGCTCAGGGCTGTGAGGTGTCTCGGTTCTGCGGTGACAGTCACTAAACAGAGGCCTGGAAAAGACCCTGGAGCCCCCTACCAAGGGCAGGAAGTTAGGGTGCGTCCCTGAAATGCAGCCCGCTTGAAGCAGAAGCACCGTGTTGGCGAGGTCTGGGGGACTTTCAGGGGCCTCTCTGCCTTTGTCCCTGGGGCCACGCGGGGCTCAGGGGGGGACCACTGTGGCAGTGCTCAGGTGAGCCTGGGCTCTAATTGGCCCCTGGGGTCGGTGCTAACGAGGCCACGTGGGGTGCGCTGAGGCTCCCCCAGCCCCCTGGCCTGAGCTCTCTTCCTGTCTTTGGGAAGGGAGGACCCTTTCTTTGTCCTAGAGCCACTGCTATGCCCCCTTCCGTCCCTGCAGGAGGGGTGGTGGGCAGCGGCGGCAGGGGGTGTCTCTTGGTTTTTCCTTTTGGAAGATTCTGCCTGCCCCATATTTGGGGGGTTGGTGTCTTAGCACAATCATTCCTGGGTGGGTGGGGTCGTCTCGTCCCAAGACTCAGTCTTGCCCGCTCTCCAAGAACTATCTGGACTCTGGACTCGGTCCAGCCTTGGCCGGCTGCTCTTGTCCCCTACTGGACAAGGCCTCTCAGGCCGCCTCGGGGAAATGTCCACTGTACATTTCATTCTACCTCAGGTCTGACTTTTGATGCCAAAAATCTTCTCCCCGGCCACCTTCCCGTCCCGCCTGCTCAGCCTGCGGGGTGGTGCCTGTGTGACGTGTGCATGTGTCGGGGACGCAGCGTCCCCCGGTGGCGTGTGTAAGTGTCCAGCCTCAACGGGCAGACTGGATCCTAACTCAGGGGAGTGGTGTGGAGTATCCCCAAGATTGCAGGGTGGGATGTCTGGGGTTCCTGGGACCTCACATCCTGCCA